ACCTGGCCTTATTGTTTTTCTTTTTGTCACTGTATTTAATGCAGTGTTATCATGACAGTAGTTTTTAATTATATTTTATTTTTAAAAAAGTCAAATAATTGGATTTTTAGTGAAGGTTTTCTTGTTTATACCTGATTTGTTGGTCTGTGATGAAATGCATCTCTAAAAATTATTAAATGAAAAGGTTAATACAGTGCATAACATGAATTCTATTGATGTGTTTTTCTAAATCGAACCTATTTTTATTTATCTGTTATTGGTTATATTTTAAATACTGCATAAAATACTTTGAAGAGGACATTTGTATTCTGTATTTCTACAACAATAATTTGTTAACATTTAAAATAAAATAAAAATTCTCAAAAATATTGACAGAGATTGGCTCTTGGCTTGGAACATGTTTTGAACGTTGGTCCTCTTGTGTAACTGGGTCAGAGTGATGAGCTCACGAGGTGTTATCTCCAGTCACAGCCAGATTAAAGCCTGCATCCTTGATGTGAGTTTTCCTGAAGGCGTTTGACATTCCAGAAGAGGCACCAATAAGATCAGGGTTGAATAACTTCAAGATGTCTGAAACAGACAATAAGAGAGATTAAAGAATGCAGTGGGATCCTTTTTATTTGTGAGACATAAACAGTCATAAACATAAACAATCAGCGTCTTACTTGGTAAAGTTATGACATCTTGACACGTCCTGTGACCTCCGATACTTCAAGTGGAGACAAATTTAATATTAACTCTTTGATTTTAGGCATCTGCTTTTTAAGGCAAATTAGTTTGAGTTTTATGAGGTTTTATAGAAAATTTAACATTTGGAGTAAGCGTTACCTCCACGACAAATGGCGAAACTCTAAAGCGAGGCCAAACACGGAGCTAGCATTAGCACCAAAGGCCGTCTGTGGRAAAAAAAATGTATATAATCCATTTGCCTATGTTACATATTTAAATGCAGTATTTAACAATTGTGAAATAGATTTTGTATAATTCATTGGGTAAAAAGCAAATGAGCAAAATAATGTTAACATTTTTTAGCAGTTCTGCAGAGAGAAAAAAAAATCCACATGAAACACCTACTGTCCAAGAATCCCCCAAAGCAGCGATGACTTTAACATCTGCCGGCTTCACAAATTCAACTAAATCAAAYGGGGGGAAGAAAATAAATACAGGAAGTGAAAATCAGATGCATTTAGGCTCCAGTTCTTGTAGCGTGAATTAGATTTGTGGTTAAGGGGTGTGAACAGACCTGAGGTGGGCACAGAGGGAGAAGGACTCATGTCTGGACACTGGAACAGAGGATGTCTTTTTTCCTCTGTCTGAGCTTTCTTTGGGTTCGTCTGAATTGGTCAACAAGAAAAAAAAAACACTCTGTCATAACCAAACATACGTATTCTTCTCTTTGCTTTTATGAGCTTACCATCATCTAAATATTTGCCACATTCCATCCATACCAAACTTTTCAAGATAATCACGCCTAATTAATACTTTTAGGCTGTATTCTGAGACATTTATACAAGTTCCACATCATTATTAATAAAAGACATATAGAAAAATGACTGGAAATCATGTGAGCATTTGGGGGGGGAATAATCTGTCTTCAAGAAATCTTGTAAAGCATTTTGCAAAACCTGGTGTTAAAAAAAGACTCATTTAGATCATTTTACATTTATCTTCATCCTGTTTTTCCTTTTCAATCAGTTTAAGTCCATCTCACAGTGACAAACTTTGCCTTTCCATTGTTAAATGTTTGACAACCATTGTTACTCTTTTTATGTTCAGCAATAAAACCAGGCATAAGTGTACCTCATCGACAGCCTCCGTTGTGTTAGGCGGTATCCCCACTTCATTGTCCTGCTGCAAGGCATTTTCTTTAAGAGAATTCTCACTTTTAATACGCAAAAAGGTACATTTTCACATTTTATAAAGGACTTTGGTTTAGTAATGTATAGGTTTTCCTTTGTAAATACTTTGTTACCAGATACTGAATAAAAAAAATAGACAATTTTAGGCACTACATGTGATCGTGCCTGTAACTTACCTGTGACAGAGCAGGACACGACCCCACAAAGTACCACAACGATCAAAAGCCTCTTCATAGTAATATGTTTGAAGGCAAGTCTTCACAATGTGAAGCTCAGTCCGTACAGCTTTGTCGTGTTGTTTCAACCCTTCAGTCCAAAGCTGAGTGACAGCCTGCAGCTCTAATAGGAGTTGATTGTTTTATCAGTTTTACAACATGTTCTGTTTATGCTTATGTTTATAAAGTAACAAGTAGGTCATGATGACAGCCATAACCCTAATCTACATTTGACAGTTTGTTATGACATTTGACACAGCTTGGTCAGGTTATATCAAAAGTTCAAAACAGCACTTTCTGTACTTTTCTGTTTATTTGTTTTATACACTTGCACTTAAGATGGTAAAAATCATTTAAACCTTGGATGTGGTTCAATTTAAAGTTAAATCATTTTAAAATCTATGTGAGAAATCTGATCATCCTACCTAAAACTTTTACTTTTCTACTGTCCTTTTAGTACATAAATTTCATACAGATTTACAGCAAAGTGTGTTTTCTACTCTTACAACAAGCACATTTGAAAAGAACAAATTGGTTTTGAAGATTAAATATTAGGTGTGGAAATTCACAAAGTTAACTTTTTATTTAAACCAGGGGCAGAGCTAGACTTTTTTGCAAGGGTTGCCACGGTCATGGTGTTTTTTTTTTTTTTTTTTTTTTTTTTTTTAGGGTGGCACATTCAGAAAAACTACTCTTGATTTGAAAATTCAAGTTGGCCACCACAGCTAATTTCAAAATGTCTCTAATTCAACTGTTTGAAGAAATATTCAGCTCAAACTTTGTATGTGATCATAGCTAAGAATTATCCAAAAACCTGCTGATTGCTACTCCCAATTTAAGCTAACCACTAAAGCAAATTTTACAGAGCTATAATTTAGCCATTTTATGTCATAAAAAGCTAAAAGGTAGTGGAGTAGAAGCTAAAAACCTTTTCTTTTTTTTTTACTAAATTTTAAATGCTAATCAAAGATTCAAAAAGGCCACAATAATTAACTAACTAATAGTTATAAATCAGCCATATTTCGACTTATTGCTGAAATTTGTAGCTAGGAATAATACCAAACACATGCAGACAGTTTGGATGTTAACAGTCCATTAAATGGACGTTATTAGTGGTCATCAGTCCCATAGAATTGCTTCAGACTGTCCCAACAGTGCCCCCTGTAGTGGGTTACCAGTGCCATACGTTGGAATGCAACAATCTGCCTGAGTCCGGTCTACTTTATCGTAGCCCATGCCATTTTCTCTAAAATTAGCCTTAGTGGTTTTATGCCTCATATTAACCAGATTGCGAAAAAAACCTTAGTGGTTTTATGCCTCATATTAACCAGATTACATAAAAAACCTTAGTGGTTTTATGCCTCATATTAACCAGATTGTATAAAAAACCTTAGTGGTTTTATGCCTCATTAACCAGCTGACAGTCTGAAGCCATTCTATGGGACAGAGAACCCACTAGGCAGCACAGTCGAGACAGTCTAAAGCCATTCTGGGACTGATAATGGCTAATAATGTCCATTTAATGGATGATAACATCCGAAGCGGGTGACACGTGTCGATTGCTGATCCTAACTAAGCTAATTGCTTATGCTATTGCAAATTTTACAATGGGCTATAATTTAGCCATTTTTAAACATACACAGCTAAATATCTGTGTCATAGTAGCCAAAAAACAATCTTTAATAAAATCTGATTTCAAATACAAAATCCAAGATGGCAGCCAAAGTTTAATTCAAATAACAAAAACTCAGCCATTTTCAGCCATTTTGAGCTGAAATTTGATGTGTTGGTAGCTGCGACCACCAACATGTGGTACAGACAAGCTGTGGCAGAGTGGAGCCGTCCTGTAACCGGTAGGTTGCTGGTTCGACAAGGGCGTAACTTTAGGTCTAACATTGGGGGGGTTGTGCTCTCTGTCCATTTATTTATTGAATAAATTACTTTTGTAAAATGATTCACGATATTTTAGGGTTAAAATATATTTTAATGTTTTTACTGTGATTTACTTAACTTTCCTGTTTTCTCTGTATTTATTCTGCTCCTTTTCTGTTCCACATCAGTTCAACAAGTAAGAAAAAAACTTACTATTTTTCTGCATTTTTTCCCAGCAATTACACACATTTTACATTTTTTAGATTTACTATATAACATACCTTAATTTCACAAATTTCAAGT